ATAAAATAATTCTACTTAGGTATGACATAAATGGTCATCACAAACTAAAAAATTGTTTAAAATGTAATAAAAAGAATGTATTAAATGTTTTCAGTTGTTACCTTTTTCTTACTGCTTGGCGAGAAGAATTAAGTTGAGGCAATAATGATTTTAGTATACCACTATGAAAATCTAGTAATAATGATCCAAATCTTGATAGTAAGTCAGCAAGTATGTCTAAAGCTTCTAACTGTACAGATACATCTTGCTGTAAATGAAATTACTTCATTAATTGTGTATTCCAAGAAAAATATTTAAACTATTACCTTTTCAATAGCACTAGTCAATTTTCCAGTAATTCTCCGGCACACATTTGCTGCTAATGCAGTATTAGTGATTGGCAGCTCACTTATAACAGTCTTTAATCCAATACTGCAAATGTCTCTCAATTGTTCATTTTCAGATATCATATTTGTACAAAGTGCATCAACAATAGTTTCCACTTGGTTTTCTTTTACTTTATTAACAAGTGGACCCAAACTGAAATTAAGTAGATTAAGATTCAATGAAGTTATATCACTTATTTTTTAAAATTATTAATGTAATTTATTAAAGCTATGAATAGTTATTAAGTTCAACCAACCAAATTTCAGTACCTATATTATTATATTAATAACTTATTTATAATGCTAATGCTTCAAAAATTGGTAGTTATATAAATGAAATATGAATATAATATACCTACACAGGCACTTAATAGTTAATAATCAATAGTTGAAACCTACCATTTAACTGCGAGATTTTGAACTTCACCATTTTTGTCTTCCAGCAACCTTAGCAGCATTTTCACTACTTTGCGTTCGGAATCATCGTCTAGTTTAATACTGTCTTTCTGCAACTCTGACATCAGATCGTTGGTAGCCATAAACCGGAAGTCTTTGTCACTGGAAGTCATCTAAAACAACCACAAGCACAGAGATCAGCATTTACCAACAGGTAACTAGCAACTGTTAATGGGCAGTCTAAAGATTTTTAAACGGTTTCACTTACTTTTTCGAGCAAATGAGCGATTTGATACGACACGTTAGCCATGGTTTTGTAGTCAATCGTTACGCTAATAAAACCGAAAAGACAATAGTATTACTGAACGAGTATTAAATATTAATCACACATGAACACGAGTTAAAATTAAAATTCCATTACACACAATTTGTGAATTTGAATTGTAATTTGGAATTACGATTTTACGACAACGGACAAAACATAAAATGATCGGAGTAAAACTAGTCGCGTAAAAAAACAACCACGGATGCGGCAACTCCGGCAAGTGAAAAATAAAAATTAACTTTTTTGTGTTGTATGAAAATTGATTACGATTTTATAATCTCCCAGAGATATATGGCCACAGTTGATGAACCACGGTCGTGTGTTGGTGAGTGACTGAACCTCGTGTGATTGCGTGAATAAAGAAAGTGAAACACTGAACTCAAGCGTCATGTATGTCKGTTTATTATTATTATTATAAAATATAAATGACAAATGTTGAATAGTTATTTGTTAACAAAATATAAGCAAAGTAGTAAAGTTGTTTAATGTATGCTTGTTGCTTAATTCGAAACTGAACTCGAAAGCTGTACTTAATTCGAAACTTGAGTGAAGTTTATTATACTGGATATTTAATGTTCGTCTAGAATCATGGTCAAACTTACAACAGAATTGATCATGAATTCGTACCAATTCATAAATCCAGTCAAAGACAGAGAATTGGATTTGAGAGGTAAGCAATTAACTACATTGTGACTGAAAGTCATCACTTCCCTACAATTTTTGTATTTCTTATAACATATTAACGTATTTACCTACTTATATCTTTGTTTCAAACTTAATTCAACGAATACAAAATGTTTTAGGTTACAAAATACCACTGATTGAAAACACGGGTGCAACACTTGATCAGTTTGATACAATTGACTTCTCAGACAATGATATCAGAAAAATTGATGGTTTTGCATACCTTAAAAGATTGAAAAACCTAATATTTAATAACAATGCTATTGTGTAAGTGTTCTAAGTTAAATGATAGATATTAAATATAATTWAAAAAAATAATTTTCTAATTTTCTAAATATCAAATTATTATGTATTATAATTGCAATTGTTGTAACACTCATTAAAAACTTTATTTGATCTATTGGCTCGTGCTAACTAAATTTTAATTTGGTTCCCTTGACATTTGAATGTAAAAAATTTGATCACTGAACAGCACCAATTTAAAATTCCATTACCTATTCTAGAAACTAACATATTTATTATCTGTTTATAAGAATGTCGGTAGTATAAGCAAGGGCGCCGCGAGGGGGTGCAATTGCACCCCCCTGGCTTTAAAAAAAAAATTTTATGGTATTGAAAATATTTTTTTTGCATAATTATCTATTGAAAACTTAGTATCCGTCGAAAAAACAAAAATAATTTTGTATCTTCATTTAATTTGAAAAATTATTTCTATGTATTTAACTAAAATAATTTAAACATTATTTAGAAATCAAAGTATACAATGCACGATGCACCCCCCTGACAAAATTCCTGGCGGTACCTATGAGTATTAGTACTACATTATTAAGATTCTAATAACTCAAATATTAAATGTTTTCCCTTATTGAACATTATAAGTTATAGTTGCTTGTAATATATGCCTACCTAATTAGAATTAATAAAAACTAAATTGTTGCTATATGATTAAAATGTACAGTTATGTAACCATTATTTTCTTGGTTTTTTGTTAGTGTTGATGTTACCAATTAAATAATTGATTATTTGTCTACCATTTGAAATTTGAATTGGTCTTAATTTTTGTTAAATTTGATTAAATAATTGTTGCAGACGTATATCAGATAACTTAGAACAATGTCTACCAAATCTTGAATCTTTAATACTAACAGGTAATCAAATTCAAGAACTTGGAGATTTAGATCCTCTTGCTTCACTTCCAAAATTGAAAATGTTGAGTCTTTTACATAACCCAGTAGCATCTAAAGAGCATTATCGACTATATGTAGCACATAAAATTCCGCAAGTTCGGATTCTGGACTTCAGAAAAGTTAAATTGAAGGTTTGTTGTTTTTCACAAATATTTACAGCGTATAGTAAACATAACATAACTTATAGGAATATGAAGCAGCTAAAACATTATTTAAAGGCAAAGAAGGAAAAGAACTTAAAAAGAAGTTGGTTAAGAAATCTAATCAATTTGTTCCTGGAGAAGGTCTTGAAACCAGAAGAGCAAATGGTAATATAAAGTTGAATTTACTTTTATTTATACAGTTATTGTTTTGGTTCAATTTTGTAGTAGTTTTATAATTTAATAATTTACATTAATGCCTTAATTCATTAAATTATGTTTGAGTTGAGGACATTGTACCTAAACTATTGAGTTATTTCCTCTTAGGGCCGCGCCACACTAGAGCGGTTTTGACGCGCGTCAAAAACTCAAGAAAAACGTATACCATGTAATGGAGTGCGTCAGACTAGCGCGATTATACCGTGTGACACTGCTGTATGCCACGGTTTTGCGTTTTCACCGCGCATCAAAACCGCTCTAGTGTGGCGCAGCCCTAACTACATACCAATTTATTCATTCAGAATAATCCATTTTGCTTATGATTTATGAAGTTTGGATATTATAATTTTAAAATACAAGGTTGATTCTAAATAATATTCAATCCTTTTAATTTGATACTATCTCAAATTACTATATGAATGCATTATTTTGAATGTTAAAATGGCCATGTTGTAATGCTTATGAGACAACTCATGTTTGTACAATGGCCTCTGAATAAAGTTGACATTTTATAATTTATTTGATGTTTGAGAAGACTTAACTTGGTTTTGTAAATATACAGTTAAATTGTTTTTAAATTAATTAAGAGTACAATATTATGATCAA